ACAATCTGTGTTGCCACCTTGCCTCATAAGAGGCATTTTCTAGTGGCACTCTTAGTGATTGCAGAATGACTTCTATCATTTTATGTATTTTGAAAGCTATCAATATGTCTCACCCTGCTCACTCAATTCTTAATAGCTGGAGCTTATAGCTTCAGAGTAATAATTGTGGCCTGTATTCTACTGAGGAACAGAGAGAAAGGTAATTCAAGACAGGTCATTTAACATAGGCAAGGTCAAAATGAGGGTAATCAAAGGAATAAGAAGTATGAAATTCTTTAGTCTCATGTATTTTATCTGTTGTATAACAAGTCCCTGAAGCTATAGGTGAAAAGGCCTGTGTACAGGCACCTTCCATTGGTTCCACTCCAGGTCTTTAACAGCCTAGGTAGAAGTTAATGATTCACAAACTTAATAGGATTGCAACATTAAGAGTTTGTAGGATTGTAATGAGATTATTGTCCCCTACCTAAACTACCTGCCCTTCTCCACCATTCCTCCATTGCTTACATTCCTGTCTTCTCACCTGAGTCTTCTGACATCTGTCATCATTCACCACTTGGTAGCTTGAATAAGGATTATTGAGCTCAGAAACAAAATACTTTCTCAGCTCATTTTCACAGATAAAAACCCAGTGAGAGAAATAAAACTCAATGGGAATAGTAATTCTGAGAAGGAACACTAACCAGGAGGTCATAACAGAACCCTGTTTTGTTTAAACCTGTTAGGAGGCTGGAGGGTGAAAAGGTGATGGTAATCACATAGCAGAGAAGTGTAATGAAGTTGGAGGGAGGCATGTTCACTGTTAAACCTGTTCTTTCTGGAGAGCACTGGAGTGGTTAAAAAATGAGATGATCAGGCTAGTGAGGGGAAACATTCAAGAACTGGGATAATAAGAAAGCTAAAAAAAAAAGGAAAGAAAATGTTATGTAGAAGTTTGATATCAAATTACAAAGAACAATTCTGAAAGAGTGTCAGTTATCCTTCACATGGAAAGAAAAAGTTATTGGCAACATTCAATAAAAACCAAGATAATACTAACTCTTAAAAAATAAATACTTTTTTAAAAACTCAAAAATAACCCTTAAATTCATAGTTATGGAGCTGGCTTTCCATCACAGCAAACCTCCATAAGGTTTCAGAGGCTGTATATCCTAAAAGGAGGAGACTGTCCAACTTTTTTGTATGTACCCTGGTGGATTAGAACCGCTGGAAATTCATAGCCTTTGGATTTGCAGCACAACTGATTACAGACTTGTATTTGTAATTTTTTCTAATAAGATGTGTAGAAGCCCCATTATAAGAAGTGTGGAGTCAAAAGTGTCCTAAATGTTTGATTTGCTGTATAACTCTGTGGTTTCCAACAATCCCTCCCTCGTTCAGTTTCTTCATTCTTCTATGTCTCTCAGTTTCAGTGGTTCTCTGGAAGGTCTCCCAGAGACTCAGATCCATCAGAGAAATTACTCACATGACTTTAGGTATGCCGCCTGGTTTTGTAGAGACTAGTGAGTGTTGTAAATTATCAACTGCAGTGAAGCTGGAATGTGGTACTCCCAAAAAGAGAACACTAGCACTGAGGAATCATGAGCTTATGTAAACCTCAGGTAGAGTAGGGTTTGTATCCCTTCCTAATCCTCTCTACTTAGTACAATAAATATTTCAGCTAATCAGTGGCTAGGAAAGACATTCTGAACAATAAACTTTAACACCACCAACCACCCCCTGACTTTTCCAGCCATCAACCATAACACTTGAAGACTCAATATGCCCCTTAGAATCATAACAAGAAATATATTCATGAAAAGGTGCAAGCCAGTAACTGCATTCTTTGTGCTTTAATCTCCCCCTAAAAAAGGGATAGCTAGTTTCTGATTTGCCCATCCCTATCAAACCAGTACTCTGAAGAAATAATCATGTTCCTTTCTCTGAAGAATCTTCACATGTGAAAGCAAACTATGGCTGGCTCTTTTCTGAGATTGCAATGAAGAAAAAAATATTTGAAAGATCTGTCAATGAGTGTCAGTCTTCATCTTGGTTATTTTTTCCCTTCTTTGTGTATATACAATTACCATTTTGCTTTATTCATGGATGATAATCCTGATATTATCCCATAACTTAACTGGTCTTCAGTCATTAGTGTTCAGTATCCCAAATCTGTTCTTGAGAATTTGAGAAGGTTGTTGTTGTTTTGTTGTTGTGTTTTTGTTGCTGTTTATTGTTTGGGGGTGTGTGTGTGTGTGTATGTGTAATTCAGGTGGGATACACCCACAGTCATATTGTTGCTTTTGTGGATTAGTTTTCATTTTCTTTAGCTTCAATTTGAACTTGCACATGAACTGTTAGTGGTCTGTTCATATGACAGATGTTGTATGAAGTATTACCTAAACATATTACTGACATAACTATTTACCTGACTATATGGTTGGTATGGATATTATGTCTAATTGGAAAATACACTCTCTACCAGATTTATCTTCATTTTATGAAGCTACAGGTGGTACTACTTTATTTGGGTCTTGATAGTCTACAGTTAAAGTAAACACAAATGGGTACTACACATATGGACTTTAGCTTGTGAACTACAGCAGAATCAGACTGATTACATCTGTAGAAAGATTCATTGGAGAAATTCAATATCAGCTGTGAAAACTAGGCCAGGTGCAGATTGTGGAAAAGACCATCAACTTACGCATATGCAAATAAAACCTAAGGTAAGAAAAATTAAAACAAACCAACAAAAACCAAAATTGGACTTAAGTCTACCCTACTTTAATTTAAAAACCATCTCAAGAACAGATTTGAGACCTTGAACATGAATGAACAAAGACCAGGTGAACTGTGGGAGGATATCATGAATAACATACGTGAAGCATTCAAAAGGTCACTACAAAGACAGAGAGGAAGAAAAGACCTCAGGAGACAGGTGTCAGATGAGACTCTGAAATAGAAAGAGAACTAGTAAGACAGTGTGAAGATCCAAGAGGGAGAGGATAGGAGCAGTAACTTGAGGATGGTCAGGGGGGTAATTATAGGATTGCACAAATTGATGGGTAGAGAGAAAGGTGAGTAAAGGAAATGAGAAAGATCCAGTGTGAAAAATAATGTATAAAAACTTTGTAAGAAAACCAGAATAAAATAAAGATACTTTGAATAGTGCACTAGAATGCTGAGAAGCCAAAGCAAAGGAAAAAAATTAGAAAGGGCAGCTTGGGAAGACAAAGCAAAGTATTATAATTATTATTATAATGAAATGTGCAAAGAGCTGGAGTCCAAAAATCCAAAGGGATGAACCTGCTCAATATTTCTAAAGCTGAAGGAACTGAAGAATAAATTCAAACCTTGAGTTGTAATACTTAAAGACGTTGTAGGTAGAATACTGAGTGATCCAAGAAGCATGAAAAGAAGATAGAAGGAGTACACAGTCAGTTTACCAAAAATAATTAGATGACACAGAAGAATTTCATGAGATAATATATGACCAAGAGACAATAGTGATGAAAGAGGAAGTGCAAGATGGGCTGAAGGATTTGGAAAAGAAAAAAGGCCCCAGGAATTGATGGAACACCAATTGGCATATTTCAACAAACAGACATAGCCTTGGACATGCTCACCAAGTTGTGCTAAGACATCTGGAGGACAACTACCTGCCCAAATGACTAGAGGATACTAATATTTATTCCTATTCCAAACAAGAAGTGATCTGACAGAGTGTTGCAATTATTTAACAGTGTCACTAATATCACAAGGAAGCAAAATTCTGCAGATTATCAAAAAATGACTGTAACAGTACATCGACAGAAAAAGATTAGAAATACTGGCTAGTTTTATAAGAGGCTGTGACAGTAAGGACATTATTGCCAATGTCAGATGGATCTTCGCTGAAAGCAGAGTGTACCAAAAGTATGTCTATCTGTGTTTCACTGATTATGCAAAGATATTTGACTATGTGGATCACAATAAATTGTGGTGAACCTTGAGAAAAATGGGAATCCCAGAACATCTGATGGTGCTCATGTGAAATCTGTACTTAGATTAGGAAGCAGTGGTCAGAACAGAGTAAGAAAACACTGCATGGTTTAAAATTATGAAAGGAGTAAATCACAGATGCATCCTGTCTCCATACCTTTTCAAACTATATGTGGAACAAATAATTCAGAAGGTTAGACCATATGAGAAAGAATGTAGCTTCAATCAAAGGAAGTCTCATCATCAACCTACTTCATGCAAATGCTTGCCCAAACTGAGGAGGCCCTGAAACATTGATTCCAGAAGGTCAATGACTGCAGTCTTCAATATTGAAACACAATGACCACATGTAACAGAAGAAGAATAAGTGACTTAGAATTGTGGTGCGAGAGAAGAATATTGAACATACCATGCACTGCCAAAAGAATAAATAGGTCCATCCTGGAGAAGGTGAAACCAAATTGCTCTTTGGAGGCAATAATTTTGAAGTTCTGTCTCACATACTTTGGGGATGTTGCCAGGAGGGTGCAGTCCTTGGAGGACATCATGCTTAGAAAGGTGAAATGACAACACAGGATAGGAAGACTCTGGAAAAAATAGATTGACACAGTAACTGGGGTCATGGGTTAGATGAGAGAGAGAGAGTGAGATTGACTCAGGATAGAGCAGGGTTCAGAGCTGCTATACATAGGATCCCAAGGAGTCACAGTCAACTCAAAAGCACATAACAACAAGTCTACAGTTAACCTCTATGAATCATCTGCCTTTTTTATAGGCTATGTAGGGCTGTTATGTAGAGAATTTTTAGGTATCAACACTCCAGCTTTTAGCATGTCTTTAATAAAGTATTTCTTTCCTTTCCACAAGGCATCCTATATTGCTTCAAATTATCAACCTTAAAATGCTTAGGCAGTTTTAACAGCTCCTATTTAGCATGCCCAACCAACAGTGAACTTTGAGCAGACTTACCTGTCCTCAGTTTGACAAAATCTGGTAAAGGGAGAGTTCTTCCACTAGACATGATGTCCATGCCAACGATGCATTCAGGTAAAGAAGATGCAATTACTTCATGCAAAATATATTTATATTTTCCAATTCTCATCTAGACTTTCACTTTCATTGCATTAATTGCTGCATTCTCTTATCCTCCTAATATAACTTTAAGTTCCTTCAAGATTTTATCAATAGGTTTGAGGATTACAGTACATTGGGCTCCTGTGTCCAGAAGCCTATTTTAACTATATATATGCATATGACCTCAGGTCACTTGCTGAGGGCTTGGACCAGAAAACCCTGATCTTACCATTAATCCATATCTTGATCAATTAGCTAAGCTTATGTTTCAAATGATTCTGAGTGGAGTTTTCCCCATCATTAATTACTTCATGATTGTGATGAAGATAACAAATTTGTTAGGCCTTCTTGATGTTGGGGGAACAGAGAGGACTTCATTGGTCTACCCAACATCCTGTAGAGCAACCTAAGAACCTTTGTCTCAACTCCATCAATGTCCACAATATTCATCCCAGTTCTGAGTAGCCATCTAAAAATCTCAACCCTGATTTTTTTCCCTATAGTCTCCTCCCATTTGCCTATGAATACCTTGTGCCACTAGTGTGTCCTAAAATCAGGACAATTATGTACATTATATAGATTATAACTAATTTGTTTTTTATAAGCCTGAATTGTTGTTAGGTGCCACCAAGTCATTAACAGCCCATCGTGACCCTAGGAACAACAGATCTGAACCCTGTCCTATCCTGCACCATCCTCACACCTCCTGTCTCACTAGTGCCCATTGCAGCAGTCACCATGTCAATCCACCTGGTCTAGGGTCTTCTTCTTCTTCACTGACCTTCCACCTTTCTGAGCATCATGTTCCTCTCCAAGGAAGAGACCCTCGTAGCAACATGCCTGAAGTATGTGAGGTGAGGCCTCATCATCTTTATCTCCAAAGAGCACTCTTGCTGCACACTCTCCAAGACATATTTGTTTGGTTTTTTTGAAGTCCATGGGATACTCAGCACTCTCCTCCAAAACCAGGGCTCAAAGGCATCAATTCTTCTGTCATCTTTATTCATTGTCCAACCCTCAGATGCATCACAAGTGATTGGAAAGACTATGGCCTGAATTAGATGCACTTTAGTCCTTAAACTGACATCATTACTTCTCAAAAATTTGGAAAGGACCCTGACTGTAGACTTTTTCAGTGCAGTATGTCTCCTGATTTCCTGACTGCTGGTACCAAGTGTGTTAACAGTGGATCCAAGTAAGATGAAGTTGTTGACAGTTTCAATCTTTTCTCCATCCATCCTGATGTTGCCTATCTGTCCAGTAGAAATAATCTTTGTCTTCTTGGCATTGAGATATAATTTCTTTGATTCTCTGAAACAAATTCTTCAAGTCTTCCTCACTTTCAGCAAGTAAGGTTATGTCATCTGCATAATGCAGGCTGTTGATGTTTAAGTATTATTAGTGCCACCCACATTTTATACAAGGTGAAACTGAGCTAATAGTTCTTGTTAGGTGCCATCTAGTCAAGTACGCTAGTGATCTTATGATGAACAGATCTGAACCTTTTCCTACTCTGCACCATACTCATCTCTGACTTACTAGAGCCCATTGCCACAGTCAATATGTCAATCCTTTCTCTCTTTTGCTGACCCTCTATCTTTCCAGGCATGATGTTCCTTTCCAAGAAACAGCCTCTTCTAATAACATGCCCCAAGTATATGAGACGAAACTTTACCATCCTTGCCTCCAAGGACCACTCTGGCTGATCTTTCTCCAGATATATCTGTTTGTTCATTTAACAGTCTATGGGATATTCAGCACTCTTCTCTAACTCCACAGCTCAAAGGCATTGATTCTTCTTTTGTCATCCTAATTCATTGTCTAGCTCTAAGCAACAAAGCAAGCATTTGAATAGATCATGGCCTGAATCAGGAATACGTTAATCTTCAAACTGACATCATTGCTCCTAAATAATTTGAAGAAGTCCCTTACTAAGCCAACAGAGAGATGCAATAACTTAGTTAATATTACATGGCTCATAAATGAAAATATTTTATATATGCTATCAAGTTGGAATCAACTTATAGTTGACCATCTAGTGGATATTTCAGAGGCTGTAAATCGCTCAGAAGGAAATAGTTCATCTCTGTCTCACAGAACCACTGATAGATTCATACCATCTCTCTTTGGGTTAGCAGCATAACTCCTTACTACTAGTTCACTAAAGCTCTCTAATAAATGAAAAAACAGGTATGTGTTTGAACTCAAAGCTGTGATATGAAAGAAAAGGGAAAATTTAATGGTGCTCCCCATGCACATAGCATTCTAAGTAGAAAAGTTTTATTGAAATGTTTTCATAAGTCTAATTGTATTTTTTCATTGGGGAAAAACAATTACATGCAAGTCAAAGAGGGCTTTTTACTCCTGCTTTATAAAAGGGGAAATTTGGAATTGGAGAAACCAAATGATTTTGTTTATCAGGATAAGAGGAGAGTACTGTTCTTGTCCTATAAAATACATTTCACCTTTCTAAGCTATCTGTTGAAATTCAGGAAACAATCCTAATGTAAATTCTTTTGCTTTGTAATAGGAAAAAAATGCCCCTTTAGTTGTTAAACTGACAGAAGTTGAGTCATTATTATAAGCACACAACCTATTCTTATACTATTTTACTTTCTTAGCTAAGAAAAAATGTATATATACATAATATTTCTATTTTTTCTTTTACTTATCCCATTGTTAGACTATGTGAGGACTCTTAAAAGTGCCTTAGTTCTACCCAACATTCTCCTCAGAGCAAACATTATTAGTTTTAAGAAAGAGCATCTGAAAGATTGTTTGGTTCAACCCATATATGACTAAATACCTTATATTAAATTACATACTGCTTAAGCATAAAATCTTTCATGTAGTATTCATTTCATCATCAATAAATTACTTTGCAAAAAAATATTTAAAACCTTTTAATGTGTGCTTATTTTTGCTCCCAGGCTAGGCTTTCTTTTCTTAGATGGCAAGATTGATTTCTCAGTTTTACTGTAATTTTATGAAGTAAAAAAAGAGAGTAAGAGAGTCTTATAAATCTTGTAATTCACTTAAAAATTTAAAAAAATGTGTCTACTTGATTAATCTGTTCTGGTGGAAATTAATGCAAAATTTTACAACACAAGAAGATAACATAGGCGGGAAATTAAGCACACAGGAAAAGGAACTAGATATTTGTAAAGGATCATATCCATCAGAAAAAAGAAATCCTATATTAATGTTTCATATTTACGTGGTAATCTGTTACTTAAAATAAAGTACTTCATAATATCTTTTGAAGAATGATTTTAAAATAGTTGTCAGTTACTATGACACTCACACAAAGGTAATTTACTTGGAAATTCTAATCCTTAATTCACTTTCTCCAAAGATAGGAGAAAGTCCTTTTCCAGTCCATGTGACAATTTCAATATCAGTTCTCAATAGTTAGAAATAAATGACCCAGAACCAGGAGGGTTAATTATCAACAAAGGGGGAGGGCTGAAGTTTCAAAGAGCCAGAGGGGAGTGCTAATAATCCTTGTGGGGGAGTAATGGAGATTGGCAGGCTGACATTTAATCATCAGCAGTCACCCTGGACTGCAGTGGTGAAAATCAAGAATATTTCTTGTTTTCTAAGGGAAGAGAACATCATCATTCTGCCTCTTAGTTTTCTCAAAGCCAAGTTTTCTTTACTTGTACCTAGATTAGCACCTAATTCTGAGAAGACATATCTTTTCTCATTGTCTTCCTTTTGAAGGCCGTGGGAGAAAGTCAAAGAAATGCACAAAGAGTAATAATAGAAGCAAAGAGAGAGGAAACAGGGATGGAAATGTAGAGATCATCAAAATAGAAATATATAAGGAGAATATTCAAGGAAAAAGAAAGACTAGAGACATTAAAAGGATTGAGAGCAAGAAAGAAAGAAAAACTGATTTACTGCTACAAAAGTTTCTCTTCTTAAGCTGTTTAGGTCAAGAAATCAGACATGGCACTGAGAACAAGAAGGAGTCAAGAAAGGCACAGTGTCTGATTCTGGAGAAACAAGTGCACAGCCGGATGGGAGCCTGTGCCCATGCCGCCGCCTCTGCCCTGCTCTGCTTCATCCAGGTGAGTTCAGTGGGGAAAAACAAAAAGATTCTCCCCATCTCTGTTTCTCAGACAAATCAAGTCTCAAAAGAATCTAGAAGGGAGTGAACCGGGAGAAATAACACATATAGAACTAAGGTATTAAATGAGAAGATAAATAACCAGAATACTTTTATTTTGTCACGGGGTTATAGGAATGCATGTGTGACTAATTACTATGTCAATGAAAAGATGGACAAAATTACAGTGGCCACATATAGGATAGCTATGGCATTTTAGAAGAGCTCTCTCTTCCCTCTCTCTTAATATCTTACTCCTCAGTATCACAGGAAAGTAAGGGGGGAAAAATTATTCTCCAAATCAGAATATTCTTATCAGCCCTAAAACTTACCTAAAATTTCAAATGACTCTTAACCAGATACACATGCAAAGAAGAGAGAGTCCTTAAAAATTCCTTTGGATTAGGGAGCTCTGGTGGCCTACTGGCAAGAAGTTGTACTGTAATCACAGAGGCACATGGTTTGAATCCACCAGATGTTCTGCTGGAGAAGGAGGGACAATCTCCTCCTGTACCAGTCAGATATGATTTGGCGGTACACACACAAAAAAATAATTTAAAAATAAATAAATAAATACATTTTTAAAAATCCTTTGGATTATATTTCTCTTCACTCTAAATCAGAATACCCTAAGTAATTAATTAGTTGAGAAAGCAATCATTAGCCTGAAGGATCCTGGGCAATTTTAAAAGCAAGTCTAAATAGCTATGGAATCTAACAAGAGTGAGAGGAAATGAAGAAACTGAGTTCTCTATCTCCAAGTTTGTGTTAGAGATTGTTTTTGTGATTCCCATGTACCAATTAAATTGCCATCTTTTTTACCTTGTATTTTCTTTCCATTCTCTTTGCTCTTTTTGCAAGAGTCCTGAAAGTGATATTTTATGTGCTGAGAACATTGTTGTTGTTTTTGCCATCGAGTCACCCACGACTCATAGTGACTCTATATACAATAGCCCTGAACCTTCCCTATGCTGAGCCAGTCACACTGACTCAGACACACCTAATCCCATTGCCCCAGTTACTGTGTCCATCCATGTCATCCAGGGTTTTCCTCTCCTGGGCATCCCTCCACCCTTCTGAGCATGATGCCCTTCTTCAAGGACTGGTCCCTCCTAACCACATGTCCAAAGTATGCAAGGCAGAGTTAGGCAACTGAATTTATGAAAGTGAAATGAAATTTGGGGGCTTGTTGAAGGAACAAGCATTTTGTCATTCTTGATGACATTGCACTTTATACAAAAACAAGAAGGATAGTCAGGAGTCTCTGAAGTATCCTGCAGAGGAATTCTGTTGGCCTTTAAAGACCTTTTTTACATTATATTATGAGTATTTGACTCCCTTCTACCACCCCTACCCCTACCCACTCCAATTTACTTGACAAATAAATCTGTCCCAATTTAAAAGTGACTTTGCTATTGCCTTTTTCAAAATAAATTTTTATTTCTTAATGATTCACTTACAAAGTTTGTATACATTGTTTTCACACCAGATGTTTCCATTTCTTTTTCCCACCCCTCCCTCTACCCTATCCCCCTGTCCATTCTCACCCCTCTACTCCTACCATCCCTCCTCCTTGAATCCTTATATACAATTTACTAGTTATCTGTTTCTACAATAATGTTCTTATATAGTATTTGTCCTTATGGGACTGAGTTCACTTAGCATAATGCTCTCCAAACCTTCCTAAGTTATTGCTTTCTTGAAATATCAGGAGTCAAGTTATTGGAAGACGGAAACATTCTTAGAACATAAAGTTACCCAGAATAATCTTGGAAAGCAATTGAAATATAAAGTAGAAGGAGCACAGTATTTCCCTAAAGAGAAAGGGGATTTTTTAAGCAGATTTATTCTTTAATATAACAGAGTTTAGCTTGAATTCTAAATAACTTAATGAATGTACACAGTTGGTCAAGTTATTAAGCTCTTGTGACTTAGTTCCATTAAGCTTAAAAAAAAGTTGAAGTATACCCATCTAAATATGTCAATGACTACCAAATTAACAAGCCAAACTATCTTGGAGGTAGTATAATCAGGGTGTTTCCTAGAGGCAAGGATAATGAACTATCTATACTTTGTTCACGTTGTCAAGAAGGATCAGTTTCTGGAAAAAAAAAGATACTGTACTGGCAAAGGTACAAAGTAAGAAAACAGAGAGGAGGACCTTCAACAAGATGGATTTACATAGTGACTGCAACAATGACCTTGAGCAAAGTGGAAGTCAGGACAATGGCTAGAAAGGGCAAGATTTGGATCTATATGTTTATAGGGTCATAATGAGTCATTGTTGTTGACAGCACCTGACAGTAACAACACATATGCTCCTACAGAGTTTCTAGGATTAAACATTACGAAAAATTAAAAGTTGTTATCAGTCTTACCATTTAGTGAATAGCACCTATTCAAGAAAAAAAGTTTCTCTTTTTTTAATCAATGTGGTATTGAAAGAAGAGTAATGATAAGTTATTGATGTACTAATACTAATTGGAGAAATTAAAAGAGAAGTGGAGTAGAAGTTAATTTGCAACTTAGTAGGAATAAGAACTATAACAGCATCCTGCAGAATAAATAAAGAAATTCCTAGAACAAGCGTATTGATACAGAGGACTACCTCTCATTCCCAGAAGTAGTAGTGGTATCACCCTCTGCTGAAAAAAAACATAGATTAGGTCATTGCTTTTTCAAGTTTTCCCACTTGAAGAGCAGGAATTTGGGGGAAGACAAAGGGTGAAATTTTGCATTCTATACCTTTAAAATATGAACCCAAGTTCTGATCCCTATACATGCAGATGATCTTGTTAGGAAATAGAGATTTTCTTTTGTCATGGTAATGAGGCCATGCCAAACAAAATCCACAGTATTTTATCCCATCCATCTGATTTCCCAGGCTATAACATTTTACAGAAAGAGACTGTTCATCTCTTTTACCTGATGTGTTTGGTAGATTGGAACCTAGAATCTTTCAGTTAGCAGCATAACACATAACTCAATCACTACATCACTGGGCTGAGATCAAAGGCAGGCAAGTCCTAATGTAATCATTTCTAAATGATAAAAAACAGGGTAGATAAGCAGGATATCTAGGAAGATTATCTAAAAAGTGCATCCACCTACACTACAAAGAAGAATTTATACTACAAAAGAATTTAACACTACAAAGAAGCTGAAACAGAAAAAGAAGGTATTGTTTGTACTACTGACTATACTATTTGCGCTATAGTCAGCAGACACATGGAATTTGAAAAGTCCCAGCCCAAAACACTAACTTTGACCCTTTGATCCTGTCCTTATCTTTACCCTGTGCTGAGCACAGCACATAAAACTATTTCTCTGTCTGAAGGAATTTCCCTTCTTTACAGCTTCCTGGGTCAAAATGTGAAGAAAGCTGTGTCAGTCCTGAACAGTAAGTATCTGAAAATCCCAGATAGGAAGATGGAAAGACAGACAAAACATAAATAACACCGAGATATCATTAGATGTCTGCAACTTATTTGCATCTTCTTAAATGAGCATCTTTTAAGTAGACTTAACTGAGTAGGTTATATCACCTACTGATAGCACACACTATCCAACATTAAAGGTATGGGTTTGTGTCATCTTGATATTCAAAACAATACTGCTGACAGCATTTTTCCAAAATCAATCTTCCCATCAAAGAAACCAGACCCATTCCTGTCTAGTAGATTCCCACTCATAATGACCTTAGAGTGATCTTACAGAGGCTTACAAAACTTTTTTACCCATGAATCACTGTGACTCACCATGACAGATAGCATTCAATATCTAATCACAGGCAAAATGATGTAGCTGAGTGATTTCCTCAAGTAACACCACCATTTAAAATCTTGAAAGCATTTTTAATGTTCATAATGTGTTGATTATCTATGAGGCTTTAGGTATCACTTTGATGTAATTATCTTATAATTGAAATCTTTCACAGTTAGATTATATACAAATACTGAGGACTAAAGATAAAATAATACAGGAGATTTCTTTTACCTGGAGGTGAGTTGTAAAAATAAAGAAATTATAGTAGAATAAAAGACTTGTTAGGCCCGAAGGGGGATGAATGACATGAAAGTGTTTCCCAACACCTACAGTTGTTCAGCTCAGGAGTAATGGTGATAACCTTGTTTGCTGTTACGTGTACATTGAATTATGATCACAATTAGCACCAACTGTCTGAGATTTTAGACATCTACAAAGCTCTAATGGCCTAATGGTAAGAAACTGCACCGCAATCCTGAAGGCACGTAGTTCTAATCCACTAGCTGCTCTGTTGGAGAAGGATGGACAATCTTCTCCCATGCTATTAAGTGCCTCTGAAAATCTGCTGGAGGATCAGCTATGGAACAGTTCCTACTGGATGGTACTCAACAACAACAATAGCAATGACCATGAGAAGGAGCCCTCGTAGCTCCATTATTAACACTCAGCTACTAACGAAAAGGTTCATAGTTCAAATCCACCTAGCAGCTCCAAGGGCAAAAAAAATCTGGTGATCTGCTTCCATAAAGATTTACTCACCAATCCAGCACACTGCCTTTCAGTAGATTCTGACTCATGGATGCCCCCCATGACTTGCCTACTCTGCAGGCTTGCCTCTTTACCAAAGCACACTGCTATGCATGCATTAGTAGATTCCAACCACCGACACTGAGGTTGAGGTTGGCATTTTAGCCTCTATTCTGAGCTCTGCAGGGTAGTTTTGTTCTGTCACATGGAACACTCAGGATCAGACTATACTTTAATGCACTTCTCAACATCATTACTGCTATAGGGAGAATTTTTCCCTACAGAATCAAAATGTTAATTTTGCAGAACTTTCAGAAGGGGCTTTGAACAAATGAGTAACACACATGAAAACCACCTACAGATTATATAGTTCAATGATACACAAATAGTGTTTTCTAACATTTGCAAACAAAGAGAAGAGCATGGAATGGATCTAAATAGAGTTCAATATTTAAGTGTCATAAAGTATAATTAAGTGACAAAATGCACATCCTTTGCAAAAAAAATGTGTTTTTCCTTCTTGTCATTCTCTAAACCCTGCTCTAATCCCATATTTCCTCTCCCTTACCATCTTGTTTCTCTCATCCCTCTAAAGAAAATGAGGTGAAGTTAATTTCTACTGTTCTCCTCACTTCTTTCATCTCAGTGGGAGTGTTGCAAAACCTTGGGAAACATATATTACTTTCAAGTTCATAGCTGCATTGGCCTCAAATATACACATACACATCTTAACTTACACATTCAATTTCAAACTCCTTTTTTATCTTATATTCCAAGGTTTTTCTTGGTCATTTTCATTATAATTCCATACAGTGGTCGGGTTTTCTATAAATACTATTTTCATAATCTCTAATTGAGTTCGCCTCATAAAGATTTGCAAAATAATTTGCAGACTGCTGTCTATAGCATGAAAAGTGTCCTGGAGGCTGGTGTCTAATTCTCAGGCTGCTAAGAGAGAAGTCAGAGGTCTGAATCTACAAGCTATTGCATGGAAGAAAAATGCACAGTCTCATCTGGTACAGATTTATACCCTAAGAACCTCCTGGAGGGTCACTATGAGTTGAAATTAATAAGACTAAAGGACAGTGAGTTTGAGTCTAGGATAAAGCACTGTTTAAGGCATCCCATTTCACAATACATCCAAGTGGTTACACTAAAGCTTAAATAATATAATATTTAATTTGTAATGGTTACCCATCATGGATAGTTTTTGGAGGAGCTTCCATATTAATTAAGGTTTGGAAGCAGGAGTGGCATCCACTTCCTAAAACAGATACTTCTCGAAACTATAAATTCTATAATCATACAGAAATGATGTTAATTAGAGAA